TACTTTTTCCCTTTTGTTTTTTTTGGTTACTTTTTTTTTTTTTTTGTCTTGCCACTTCAAAAAAAAAAAAAACCAGAAAGAGAAAGTATTAAGGCTGCGCAAACCTGATAGCAACATGACTCCAGGCATGTGAAAGGCAGAGGAGACAAGCAGGTGTTCCCTTTCTACAAAAAAAATAAAAAAAGGAAAAAAGAGAGGAGAAAAGGAAAAATTACTTTCTATTGAATTAAAAATAGAGCTCACTAACTTTAATAAACATGGATGTTATGAATGATGAGTTAGCTGTAGCTCACTGATGGGGTTTGCATTTTATAAGTTACATTTGAATGAACTACAAAAAAATCAAAACCACCAAAAGCATACTTGGGCTGTAAATGTCAATAAATGATGTGTAATGAGAATTTTGATAGATCTGCCTCACCCCGCTCAAAACCTAAGAAGTTTTGGGGGAATAAGGGTCGCCTCCTTGAGATGCCTTTCCTGACCATTTTAATCCACGCCTGTACAGACATACTCAGCTGGATTCCCATGCGTGTTACACTCAGAAAAACTGGCTGCATCTTAGCCAAAGATCTGTGAGGTCTCAGCCCTGGGTGCAGCTCGAAGCCCCTCTGCTTCTCGGGCGAGATGGGCTGTCAGCTGGGGCAAGCCTTGCCATTTTTTATCTCTGACCTGTGCCTTGGTGGCAGTTTCCTGGCAGCGTTATTTTGCAGAATGAAGTTTGCCCGTGATGTAAACAGGATGTGTCCATGATTGTCTCTTCTTTTAAATGCAACGTGTGTATGAACATTGAGCTAAACCGTGATATTTCCTTTTTCCCCCCCCCGTCCCTTCTCTCCCCACTCCTAGCGAACAGTGCTGAGTAAGGGAGAGACAAGGAAAGACGCCTGCATGAAGACTGAGCTGCTGAAAGATATCACCAACAACAAAGAGGAAGGTGAGCACCTGCCTCGGTTGAGGGCCAGACCTTGCTCGTGAGGTCGGCACATGATGGGAACAAAACTGGGGGCTTGGAGATGTGCTCTGTCCCCCGAGCGTCTCAGGTGTGCTCCCACAAACAGAGTGGCTCCGTTCTCCTCCTGTGTTTATTCTGAGCAGGGCTCTTCCCCAGAAGATGCAAATCTGCTTTTCAGTCCACCCATCTCCACCCACCTGAAGAATTATATCTCATTTTCACTTCTGCTTTGGTGTGGCTGTGAAGCACAAAGGAGTTACTTTGAACCTCCTCTGTGTGACTGGTTTTAACTGAACTCTGATCCCCACCACATGATGACCTAGCCCTTTTCCTCCCTCTATTAAAGTTAACTTTCTGTTTTCCTATGAGTTTCTCTGTTGCTCCAGAACAGGCACCAATCGCTGCGGGATGGCCGGTGGGGTTAGACACTCCACACCTCATGCCGTTATGGGATGCTTCGTGGCTTCTGCGTTGTTTCTGCTTGCTTTTACTTTGCAGGATGCAGCGCACATGTTAATTTGACGAAGTCTTTCCTGCGTGGTTGTCTGTGAGTTGCATGCACAGAAATCTGAGGGCTTAATAAATGTGTCGGTGGGATTAGGAAAAAAACCCACCGCCCTTTATCTCCTCCTCCCTCCTTTCCATGGCTTTGTTATTCCTTGACTAGTTACTTCTCATAGCTCTGCAGGGATTTGGTGTATTTTTGTTCTCCTTTCCATAATTGAGCATTAGAAAAGCACTGAACTGGCCCCATCAAAATACCTACTCTTAGCTAGAAGCAAAATTTTAGACTTAATTCAGATGTGTGTGAGTACAGTATTGCTTTTTCTTTATCTTCCGTCCAGCATAATGTTTTGTCAAGCTGCTCTAGTTAGAAAATAAAGCTTAGAACAGGCAAAATGTTGAATGCTGCGTCAGATGTGGCCACTGTGCTTGCATATTAACTGGGAGCACGTGAGTGCTGCTGCTGACGCCGGTTGTGTATGGACCTCTGGTCTGGGCAGACCAGAGACGAAGTCTGAGATGTTAGTGGGAGGTCGCATGGCTCTGGGAGGAGACTCTTGCTTTGATCCCTTGCCTTGCTTGGCTCAGGACTATAAAGCTAGTTTATTGAGCTCTTGGTTGATCTTAAGGTATGTGTCAAAGAGTCTATGGAGGTAAAAATCCAGAAGGAGGGTGGGAAGAGAGACATTTCTGCGCCTTGTATGTCTTGACTGATTTTCACTTAAAGCAAATGCTGTGTATCAAAAGGAAGCTGAGAACCGTCCCTGTGCAGGAACAGTTTTGAGGCTTCACGAGATGCTCAAATTCCAACCACTTCAGCTTATTGTCCAGTTCTGTTACTGGGGAAAGAAGGGTCCTAAAATGTGAACTGCATAGTCTCCATTCTTGTGGTAATGTTCAGATTGTATCCTTCTCTTCCCAAGCATACCACGTGTGTAAAAGACAATGGTTTGCGTAGTCGTTGTGCTATATGCATTGTTCTTCGCTGACCTTCGTTACCCAGCTGTGATGGTCATAGGAGTTCAATTAGTTAATGTCTCTGAAGTCTGTTAATAACAGTGTTTAGCGTTGGCAAAGAATTTACATTTCTGAGTGTTGCGTGAACATGAAATCATTACAGCAGACTTGCAAGATGGCATGAAATAGTTTCTTTGAGCCCTGTCTCAGGGATGAGTGGCAACGTATGGAGCTGGGATGTGTGGAATGGAAAAGCACCCTGAAGTCTGAGATTTCTCTCTTTGATTTTGCTTGAACAGTCATTTTCCTTGAGTGAGGAGGATGGCACCAGTACTGTCTAATATCTTCATCAATGACAGAGACAGTGGGATCGAGTGCACCCTCAGCAAGTTTGCAGATGACACCAAGCTGAGTGGTGCGGTCGACACGCCAGAGGGACGGGATGCCATCCAGAGGGACCTGGACAAGCTCAAGAAGTGGGCCTGTGTGAACCTCATGAGGTTTAACAAGGCCAAGTGCAAGGT